GGATGTTAAAGAAATGAATTTGATGTTGAATCTTATAACAGCCGCAAGATTATTGGTAGCTCAATTTTGGAAGAAGGACTCTTTGCCTACTATAGAAGAATGGACGCTTAAAGTGTCAAATTTAGCGGACATGGCTAAAATTTCCGCTTATTTAAAAGATCAATCACAAGAAAGATATATCTCGGTCTGGAGAAGATGGATAGATTATATTCAGAATAAATATGGGACTAAAAAGTTTCATTTGGGTTATGAGTAAACTCTAGAGTATTGTTATTATTAATAGTTTATTTTAATGGAATTTTTGTTAGTTTTAATTATATATTATTATTATTTTTAATATTAGTATTGTATTGTTTAATACTTAGGTAATCAATATGTTTAATTTTAATTTGTTTAAATTTGTGTTAAAGGGGAGTTAAAGCGCATTATGGATTTGGCTACTTTAATAGTTGGTTAATGTTAGATAGATTTTGATTATTATATTTGTAACCCTGTGTTCAGCTCTGGGAAGTGGGGGAGGGGGAGGGTGGGGTTTTGGGGTGGGTATGGGGGTTTATATTGTAATCTTCATAAAACTTTTAATAAAAAAAACGCATGAATACTAGACTACTAGATTAGATACTAGAGAAGCAACCTGGAATTAAGGAGAAACTTCCTGACAGTGAGAACAGCTTGCCTCCAGAAATCGTGGGTGCTCCATCACTGGAGATTTTTAAGAAGAGGTTAGACAGTCACCTGTCTGAGATGGTATAGATTCTCCTGCTTGAGCAGGGGGCTGGACTAGAAGACCACCAAGGTCCCTTCCAGCTCTATTCTATTCCAATTCTAGACCTGTCTCTCCCCTGCAGAGTCTGAGGTCAACCCTAGTGAGGAGAGGAAGAGTTATTGTAATTTGTTTTCTATCATCCTGACTTGCTTTCCTTCATTCAGGCATTAGCGCGGCTTGTCACAAATCTTATATGGCATGAAGAAACTGAACAGAGTGATTATTCTCTCCCTCAAAACTCTAGAACTAGAGATTGATGGATGAAGCTGTTTTGAAGGAAATTCAGGACTTGCAAAGCGTTGATACCAAACGGTATCAGTGGCACATATCAAACTATGAACATGGCAATTGTCACTAGCTTGGATGGATGACTTAAAAGGAAATTGGATAAATTCATGGAGGTCACAGTCTGCTTTGAAGGTTCAAAACATTACTTCCAGGATGAAGGCAACATGCCTCCAGTTATAAGTTGCAAGAAATCAGTAGTGAGAGAATCATTTCTCTATTTCTTCTTGTGGCAGCCCAGAGGGATCTGGTTGGCTACTATGAAAAACAAAACCATACACTAAAATGGGTCCTAACCTGATTCACCGTTCATGAGCTATTCAATGTGTTCAAATCTCATATACACAAAATGTACGTGGGTGTACCTGTACGCTCACGTCTTTTCTGTTCCTGTGCATGCAACCTATAAAACTTAATTTGATACTTTATATTGAGTCATTTTAGAGTCAAGCAGCACCAAAATCAAATCAATTAAATGAAACTAAATTAAGTTAAGATGTTTTTCCCACTGCAATCATTGAGATGTGTCCCTGCCTTTTTTCAGATTGACAATGGCAGAAAGCAGTTGATCATATGTACCAGCAATTGACATGATAAAACCCACTCTGGATATTATGCTGTAAATAACAATGGAAAAAGTCCTGACTCTCTGCACCCTCCAGGGCTTCCAAAAAAAGAAGCTTTCAAGCCAGTTTGAAATCAGCTGAACCCTGTAGTTAGAAGCCATGAATCTAGAAGGTTAATAAATGCCTAAGTGCTGTGCTTTGCTTATCATAAGATTGTAAAAAACCTACCAATACGTTTAAAAGATAAGACTTGCTGAGCCTCTGAAATCAGTCCCATTACAATAAATTGATAGCAGCTCTTAAGGATTCCACCCAGGGTCTTCTCAGCCTGGCTAGGAAAGGGATTGAGAAGGGATTGATCTTAATGATTGATCTCTGTAGGCCATACAGATTCTCTGTTTCCAAGCTATACCTTTTCCCTATCATTCCTTAAATAAATGGATAATATGGGGCTTAATCCTACTTGATCTTCAGTAAGGTTTTGAGATGGTTCTGTGGAGAGACAGCAATTAACCTAGAATCACCATATGGCTAAGCAGGAATTTAAAACCAAGTCTCAGTTAAGCTTTTATTCATTACGCCTTGCTGTCTCTCCACTTGTCTGTCTATTTGACAGAACCTCAGCAGAAGAAGCTTTGAACTCAGGTAAGAAAGCCCGGAGCCCAAGGAGAGGGTGTACATTGCACAATATGTGCTTAATCTGCTTGTTGAATTATTCCATATTCTAAATTTGCACATTGCACAGAATCATCAAGTCGTCAAATGATTTGCACATCATCTCAACCTCAGAAAGAAAAAAAAAAGGAACAACAGTCAATCAATCAATCAATCAATCAATCAATCAATCAAAAAAAGAGCAGGAAGGGACCTTGGAGGTCTTCTAATCCAACCCTCTGCTCCAGCAGGAGACCCTATACCATTCCAGACAAGTGGCTGTCCAGTCTTTTCTTAAAAACCTCCAAGGATGGAGCACCCACAACTTCTGAAGGCAAGCCGTTCCACTGGTTGATTGTTCTGGCTGTTAGGAAGTTTCTCCTTCATTCCAGGTTGCTTCTCTCCTTGATCACTTTCCATCCATTGTTTCTTGTTCTGCCTTCTGATGCTTTGGAAAATAGGTTGACCCCCCTTTTCTTTGTGGCAACCCCTCAAATACTGGAATACTAGTATCATGTCACCCCTAGTCTTTTTTTCTCTAGACTAGCCATACCCAGCATGCCCAACAATGCACAACTTCACCAAAGTTCAAGCTATCCAAGCTGAACATGATCTGCAAAGGTTCAGGGAAATGCATCACGTGAACCAAGTCTTCCGAGTAATGTTTAGAAATGAATTAACTTTTCTCGTTTAAGAAATCAATATATAATTGCTTCTCTTACCTCTTTTTGCTGCCCTGCTAAACAGTAAAGAATGTTGTGAGGAATGTAGAGAAAAAAAGCCGTCCCACTCTTTGCCTGCTGATATTTGCAAAGTTGTAAATTGAATTCCTGGATTGCTTTGGTCTGCCAGTTCTTGCATCAGAGGCCAACCAACTAAAGGCCTCTTTGGCATTTATGAATCAATGTCTTAGCTCAAACCACCTGCCAGCTGATCTATATGCAATAGCACAATTAGGAGTGTGGCTTATTATATAACCTCTCTGAAAAGAGAGAGGAGTGGCTATTTTAAAAGGTTTAAGAAAAGCAACGGTGTCAAGCATCCAACACACAGCATTTTTTTTAAAAAAAAAAAACACAGTTGGGCAAAGAATATCCAGAAGATAATATGACTCTTTGGCAGTACTATCTTCAAAGATCTTTGTAAACATTAACTCAAGACACCGGTTGATCTGTGGGGTCAAGAAAAGAGAGAGCTTTCTGTTTAACATCCTAAATTTAATATCTTAAGTATGGTAAGATCAGCCACTCTCCGCCTAGTCATGCTTGTGAAAAATCCTCAGGATTGAAATCCAAAACACCTAAAGACACCAAAATATGAAAAGCTGGCCTAAGTTCCAATTGCCCTCAGTCACTTATCTCCATATGAATATTTTTAAAAATAGTAAGCAGCTCTTCTTAATGCTGCCCATCAGCAAGTTGAAACAGTTTGTTATGAGGGATAGGGTGTTCTTGAAGCTGGCAGGGACAGGATGGTACTTCAACTTGCTGGAGAGTCTGCAGTATCCATTTTTAAGTGGTGTGGAGTCTTGATTGCCTGCTCTGACAATATATTTTCAAGGCACCTCTGGAGCTGCCACTAAAACGAGTTGATTCCTTCATTCAGCTCTTTGGGATCTGAAAAGTGTCTTAGCTGGGCAGTTGGTAGGGCCCAGCAATCAAAGCTAAAAATATATACATTGACCATCTTAACTGGCAGCAAAGAGATATAAAATAGCCCAGGTTTTCACTGCCATTTTGTGTTTACTTGAGATCTTGCAATTCAGAGTTGGTGGCCATAAAATTTGAGGAGACGAGATGGAACAGGACTCTTGAAATAAGCAGATTTAGCTTGGGTAGTATTCTGTAATGACAGTTATGACCCATGTGATTACAGTGTTTTCTTCCTAAGAGTTGTATAGGTGAGTTGATGCCAAAAGGAAGAGAAAAAGAGAAGACCAAATCCTAAAAGTTATTGAAACTGTTTAAAATAGACCTTCCTTACTTTGGCAAACCCTATGCTAGACATGAAACGATGTTTTATGGAACCCCACATTTCTGCAAGAACTTGGTGGACAAGATACTACAAGATAATCCTTGACTTACAACAGTTCACTTAGTGAACTGTTCGAAATTACAACAGCACTGATCAAAATGACTTATGACCATTTTTCACACTTAGGACCATTGGTCACATGATCGAAATTCAGATGCTTGGCAACTGGTTCATACTTATGACGGTTGCTGTGTCCCAGGGTCACGTGATCATTTTTTGCAAACGTCTGAGAAGCAAACTCAACGGGGAAGCCAGATTCACTTAACAACCGAGTTACTAATTTAACAACTGCAGTGATTCACTTAACAACTGTGGCAAGAAAAGTCGTAAAATGGGCCAATACTGAATTAACCACTGTCTCCCTTAGCAACAGAAATGTTGGGCTCAGTTCTGGTCCTAAGTCAAGGACCACCTGTAATGTTTTTTTCTATGTGCATAGATACTTTATATGAATGGGGCACCTCTACTTTGAAACCCACCAAAGAAAGGCAGAACAAAAAAAAAATCTAACAGATAGTCCATAATGAAGAATGTGCCTGAACACTCTCTGCTCATCAGTTAAAATTAAGCCCGCAAAAGAATATGGCAGTGAAAAGGCAAAGAACTTGTTTAATCATTATGCGCAATGTCTCCTCTAATATTTATTTTGCAAAGCAATGCCATGGTAAATCCCATCTGTTTTTAAAACAACCCTCTCGACTAAAATGTCATCCAATAAACTTTACTCTTCATTTTCTGAAAGTGTCAGAAAGAATACGAGCTCGAAGCAACTTACGTGCAACGGGGGAGGCCGTTGTGGTTCTGGGACCATGTACGAAATGGATTGTCTGCAACGTGTTCCTGACTCAGCCCATCTCCGCTGACCGCCAGCATGGAGTTCTGTAAATACATCTTGCTGGATTATCTAGAAGCACCTGTGCTGGATGAAGACTGACTGACAAGGGGAATCTCATTTGCCTATGAGCAATAGAATTTCATCTCTGCTTCCAAGCCAAATCTGTTTTCATTGTTCTGTGTGCAGTCTCAGAATCAGGCATTTCTGCCAAGTTACGCTACGGATGCAATTCAAAAAGCTCAGAGAACTTCAATCTCCTCACCGGAGAGAAGACATGTCCACAATGAATCCACAGTTTAGCAAACAACCTTTACATTTCTGGGAATGGAAAGCGTACTGCAGGATGACAGACAGAGAGAAATCTGTAGAGTCTCTGTGTTTGGTTGTTTGCTTGGAGACGTTTCATTACCAGAATAGATAATAATGTACTGATGATGTTACCTAGCTGGGTAATGAAATGTCTCCAAGCAAACAAGCCAGTTCACAGAGAACCAAGAGCTGCACAATTCAACCCTAAGCAACAAATATTCTCTTCTGTTAGAGATTAACCTGTTCTTTTTTATATTGTTCTACTTTTGGTTAATCTGTTTACTCAGTGGTCAAAAGTTTTCCACTGGGTTTTAACAGAACTTAAACTTGGACCTTATGTCTGCCATTTGAAACAAAAGGATGTGGAACCTTTTTTTCTTGTCAGAAGTGATCTGGCTGGGTTTTTTTTTTCCCCTCCTTGATATACTCATAACGTATGATATACTCATATATTATCCAGTCTCAGAGTTCTTTGATAAGATCACAATTTCCTGCAAGATGTTTCATTTCCCACGTCCGTAATAAAACATGCAGAAGAGAGAAAGGGACAAAAAAAGAAAAGAAAAGAAAAACTCAAATGATGTTAATGAATGGCAAACAGAAGGAAACGGGACTGCCAGAAATAAAATACAATGAGGCATTTTCTACTACAGCTATTATTCCTCCTACACATAGACCAACTCTGCTGTCTATAACTGGAAACATGGGGATGTGAATTGTTTTCAAAAGCTTTCTTCCACCATCCTTACCTGTCTCACTTTGACCTGCAGGAAGAATCTCATAAGAAAACCCATCTATTTGAGCTTGTGAGCATTAGGCCTCACTGGGCTAGTTTTTAAAGTTTTGCTGCTTACAGAAAAGACGTAATCTTTTAATCCCATCTAGCTGACAATTGAATTTGGACAGTCCAGATACGGTAGCTATTTCTCTACAAAGAAGGAATTCGAGGCAGATCATGAATAATGCAAGACCTCGTGAAATGCAATGCTGGCTTGAGGCTAAGCCAGTCGATTGAAGGAAAAGTGGGATGGTACCACAGTTCACCCACAACCATTGATTGTGCACCAGAACCTACATCCTAGAAGACCTCCAGGATCAACACTGCATGCTTTCTGTCCTGTCTGCCCTCTGGTGAGGACTTTCTGCCGGAACAGAGATGATAAGCAAAGCTGAAGGTTACACAGACTCTTAGGAAGGAAGAAGAGAAAGAAAAAAGTGCATTGGGGAAGAGGGAAATTGAAGAGAGAGGGGGCGAGGAAACAAGAGGCAGAAGGAAGGAGAAAGGGGAAATGCCACATGCCTCATTTTCCTCAAATACAGGAAGCACTGGGGACAACTGTATGTTTAAATGCAATAAGAATGCAGCTTGTTCCCTCTGCCATCCGTCTGGTAAATGCAAGATTCATTTGTGTTTTTTTTTGTTTTTTGTTTTGCCATGCACATGTATACATAATCCGAACTAGACTGTGTTGTTTCTCTGTGTCATATATGTGGGTATATGCCTAATTCTGTATTTATTTATTTTTGTCATAGTTATGTAGTGTATATTGGAGGTGACCCTTTGAGAGCTGTATGCAATGAAATTTCCTTTTAATGTATGTCGATTAGTGCAGGGGTCCCCAACCCCCACTCCGTGGACCAGTACTGCAGCATGCCCACAACCAGTCCACACAAACAAGCAAAGTCCCATCCGTGGGATGTAGGTAGCACACAAAACCATGCACTTTCCGGTCCACAGAAAAACCTTTCTCCACAGAACCGATCCCTGGTGCCCAAAAGGTTGGGGACCTCTGGACTAGAAGACCTCCAAGGTCCCTTCCAACTATTCTATTCTATTCTATTCTATTCTATTCCTTATTCCTTATTCCTTATTCCTTATTCCTTATTCCTTATTCCTTATTCCTTATTCCTTATTCCTTATTCCTATTTCTATTCAATGCTATTCTATTCTATTCTATTCCGTTCCATTTCATTCCATTCCTTATTTCTATTCCTTATTCCTTATTCCTTGTTCCTTGTTCCTTGTTCCTTGTTCCTTGTTCCTTGTTCCTTATTCTTATTCTTATTCTTATTCTTATTCTTATTCTTATTCTTATTCCTATTCCTATTCCTATTCCTATTCCTATTCCTATTCCTATTCCTATTCCTATTCCTATTCCTATTCCTATTCTATTCTATTCTATTGTAATAAACTGGCTTACATTCAAATAAAGGGTACCATTATTTCTACATGACTCTCTAGTGACCTCTGCCGGTGGATCAAGATTATGTTACGATTCACAAATTTACAGGCTATCGGCTGGATTTGCAGCTGATCTAAATCCTTATCATTGCTGTACCAATGAAATTGAGACAAGGCCTATTCAATGTCCTCCCAGTCGTTGCAACTTTATGTTGTTGTTGTTGTTGTTGTTGTTGTTGTCTTTACTGTTTTCACAAAATAATCTCTATTGGCCCAATCATAGTCATCACCATTTGTATAGAACTCTCTCTGGTTTCTCTTTCCACCCATTTTGGGCCCTCAAAATCCCATCTATGTAGCTGCAGGGTAGGGAAGGGTGTAAAGTTAAATGAGATGGAACAACAACCCGGTGAGGTGAGTTGGTCTGAGAGAGAGACTGGCTTAAAGTCATTCAGCCGGCTTTCATGCCTAAGGCCGGACTAGAACTCACCGTCTCCTGGTGCCCTCAGAATAATAACCACCACCACAATGACCTTGAGGTTGGAGCAGAATCCCATTTTCTTTTACTGGTACACAA